TGGGGAGTGAACTAGCAGATGAAAAATCTTTTTCTCTCTTTCCAAGGGAAATAAATAAATCTTAAAAAAAAAAAAAAAAGTTCTTGGGTGCTGGTGTAATGGCTCAAATGGTTCATCCTCCTCCACATTTAAGCACCAGCATCCCATATGGGCATCAGTTAGTCCTGGCCGCTCTACTTCTAATCCAGCCCCTGCTTGTGGCTTGGGAAAGCAATGGAGAATGGCCCAAGTGCATGGACCCTGCACCTGCATGGGAGACAGAAGAGGCTCCTGGTGGCTTTGCTCTGGTCACTGCAGCCACATGGGAACTGAACCAGTGGATGAAAAGATCTTTCCATCTCTTTCCTCTGTAAAACTACCTTTCCAATAAAAATAAATCTTTTTAAAAAAATAAACAAAATTAAAAAGTAAGTTCTGGGGCTAGCATTGTGGTCTCTGCAGCAGCATCCCAGATGGGCACCAGTTCAACATCTGCCTATTTCACTTCCCATCCAGCTCCCTGCTCACACACCTGAAAAAGCAGCAGAGGAGGGCCCAAGTGCCTGGGCCCCTGCCCTTACATGGGAGACCTGATGGAGCTCCAGGCTCCTGGCTTCAGCCTGGTCCTGACCCGGCCTTTGTGGCCATCTGGCGAGTGGACCAGCACAGAAGGGAAGAGTCTCTCTCTTTCCTTCTGTCTTCTCACTCACCTTGCCTTTCAGATAAATAAATCTCTTTAAACATCTAAAAAAAAAAAAAAAAGTCTGAAAATGACAGCCACAAGCTGTCTCCTGGGGGTTCTGTCTTGCCCTGCACACAGGGAAGGTCCCCAAGCCTGGGGAGCGTCTCTGCCTCCAGGACAGCTGTAGGGGCCACCTTCTGAACAGACTCGTGACACCTGAGCCACTGGGAGACTTGGGAAGTCACCTCCCAGGCAGCCAGACCCCCCTCACTGTGCAGGGGCCCGAGGTTCTCGGGGGCACTCCTCCCAGGGCCTCAGGCAGCCGTTGGGACCGGATGTTATGGGCAGTGTGGCCACAACGGTCAGGTTTGTGGCCACGCACCAAGAGCCAGCCTAGGGCACCAGAGCAGCCCCCTATGCCCCCGCTCTCCCTGATCTCAGCCCTGTACCGCCTCTTCCTCCAGGCACAGAGTTTCTGTGACAGATTTCACATTCCCCCAGCCCCTGCCAGCCGTCTGTGGCTGTGTACACTTCCCTCAGGGCTCACTGTGACGGTGACCCAGGAATCAGGCCGAGTGGGGCCCCGACACCTGGAGAGCAAGCAGGCTGATCCTCCTGCTTGCTCAGGTCAGAGCTGCGAAGCCGAGCTGCAAGCAATGAGGCCTGAGCTTGCAGCTGTGACGTTCCCACAGCACAAGTCACCCAGATCCCTCCTCGCCCTTCAGACACAGAGGCAAGGCCGGGGCTACAGAAACAGGGAGCCAGGTGGGGGCAAACTGCAGGTGCAGGTGCAAAGCACATGGCCCAGTCCCCGGGAACCTGGCATGCTCCCACAGGGACCCCACACAGTCCTGCTGGCTCAGGGGCATTCCACACCTCAGAGATCCTGGGGATGGAAGAGGGCGAGCCACTGGGAGCCAAAGCCAGCCCTCGGTGCTGTGGTCTGCCAGGGAGAGGGCAGCTCTGCTCACCTGGGAGCAGTGTGGTTCAAGAGCAGGGCCTGGCCACGGAAGAGAAGTCCACCTAGAGGACACCAGACACAGACACACAGACAGACACACAGACAGACACACAGACACACACACACACACACACACACACACACACACACACACACACACACACACACACACACACACACACACACACGGTGGCTCCCCTCTGACAGGCTGAGCTCCCACCCGACTCCATGCATCAGCCGCCTTCCAAGTTCAGTTCCACAGCCAGCCTCAAGGGGACGACGGGCAAGCCATGGTCAAAACACAAGCACCCTAAGAACACCGTGTGCGCACCCTGACTGCTCACAGGAGGGCAGAGCCCACTCACGGGGGCATCTCACAGACGCCGGTGTTCCAGAGCTCATGACGCCCCCACCTGAAGCCCTTCTGCTCCGGGCGGCTCAGGTAAGGCGCCCAGCCTGTTGCCCAGCAGCCTGGTCCCGAAGGAGCCCCACAGGAGTCATGCGAGAAGGAGGGAGGGCTTAAGGGCACAGACTCTAGGAAGGTAGCCTGGGCGTGTCCTGAATGGCACCAAACTCCACATGCCCAGGGGGCTCAAGGGTTAAGGTTTCTGCCAGCTGGAGCCCATCCCAATCAATAACAGAACCCCAACATCAGATGGTCTCCCCATGCTCCAGGAGGGGGCTGCCTCTCTCTGGAAGCCCCAACTGGCTCAGGGGGAAGGGGCCCAATTTGGCGAAGCCACAGGGTGGTGGCAGCAGCTCGGGTTTCGACTCCGCAGTTGGCCTGCTCCTGAGAAACCAGGGGCCCAGCCAAGCTTCCCAGGCCCCGCTCATCTGCAGGCGGCCCGAGCCCACTCACCTCACTTGCATTGGGGAGACGTCTTTGCCTTTTTTGGGAAATCTGCCTCTCCTCCACACCCACTAGTTACAGCCATGTGGGTGTATGGAGAGAGAAATTTCCCAAAAAAGGAAACAAGATTCCCAACAGCCAGTCCCACCTCTCAGAGCCACCCACAAGGCCATGGTCAGCCTGGAGTGGGAGTAGACCCCCAGGCCCGAGCCCCGCCCCAGCTGGGGGCTAGGAACCTGGGCCCAACCCTTGTCCTGTACCCCAGTACCTCTGACACCCACTCTGGTATCACTTTGGGTCCCCCCACCCTGCTCTTTCTTCCCAGCCATATGTTCACTGTCATGTGTCCGCTGCCCTGTGTTCACGAAGCTGGACAGCCCAACTCCACACATACTCAATGAGCACTCCCCAGGTCTGAGCAACCCAAAACCACGCCAGATGATACAGGGTGACACCCAGGGTTAGCAGGGGCCCTGATGAGGGGAGACAGAGCCACAATCTCTCTGGCAAGGTAACACACAGCTAGCAAGGTCCCACAAAAGCCAAGCAGCAGTACCGACAGGCTGATTCAGCGTCAGAGGGACTGGCTGCTGCACATAGCAGAGCAGCGGGGAGGCCTGGAGGTGTCAGCGGCGGCAGGGGAAAGCTACGCCTTGCTGCAGACTGCTTGGAGCTGCTCCCCGGGAGACAAACACCCCAGTGGGAGCCTCTCACAGGCATGGTGGGGGGTGGTGATCTGGGTGGCCCACAGGGGAGGAAGCTTCCGGCCAGCAAGGAGTAGCCACACGTGAGCCTCCACGCAACCTCTTGGTTTGGTGGGTGCTGGAGCTCCTGGGCTCCTGGCACTCTGCCCGTCTTGGGCAGCAGCCATGAGGACAGGCCTCTGTGGCCCTTGGGCATGGGAGGCACCCCACGCCTCCTCCACCCAGCCTCCACCCCTGCAGCCTCCTTCCTGCTCTCCCCCAGGGCACCTTGCTGACCCAAAAGGGGAACCATGAAGAGCTGAGCGGAAGCTGCAAAATGGCCAGCAGGTGGCCACCACTGTGCCACAATGGTCACACACAGCACGCGCCCCAGCAGGGGCTGCCTGGTAGCACCAACTGGCTCAAGGGACAATTCTCAAGTCATCTGCCAGAGGCGTTCATGCCACCGCACACCCTTCAGTCCAAGCCTCTTCTGGGGGTCCGCCTCTAAGCCGGGGGTGCCAGGAGACCACTGTGGACAGTGAGGGCCCAGGTACTCAGCAGCATCCTGCATGTGGGCCACCACCAAGGGGGCCCTAGAGGCACCCTCAGGGCCTGCACAGCTGAGCCGCAGGGAGCTCGCACAGGACTGTCAGGCTTCAAAGATGTCCTCACGGGAATAAGCAGCCGCTGAGGAAACCCAAAGAAACCAGGCAAAACCAGGGAAAGCCAGGGAGCTCTCGTCTCAGGGTGGCCAATGGTCCCGGCCTGAACACAGCATGGAGCCAGGGCCTGCTCCGTTCACCTGTTACGGGACTCAAGAGTGGCTCAGCTGGGCACAGGCAGGGCAAGGCAGACCCGAGGGCTCACAAGGGCCCAGCACCTGCAGTTGATGACGTCAAGGGCAGGAGGGCCTGTGAGTCCCAACCCTGCTGCCCACTCGCACACAGCAGGACGACCCAGCGAGGTGGCTGTCATTCAGAGCAGCAGAGCTCAGGGACTGGCAGCGACGTGCACACACGCACACTTCAGCCTTCCCTGCGTGAACTCTAGCTGCCATCCATACCCACGACCAGCAGCCTCAGAAGCCCCCCTGGGGGCGGGGGGACACGGCCACCGCCAGGCACACTCCAGAAGCCATTCTCATGCACAACAAAGAACAAATTCCTCTGGGCTGTTTGGGGACCAGCCCGCCTCGCACGGGGTCACTCGACTGTCCAGGATGATCCACTGGCCAGCTCACACTCCCACGCGTCAGGAAACTGCAGCTGGTTCCTCCCTTCCCCCACAGTGCGCAGTGTGGTTTTCTCTAGGCAGGAGACACCTCCTCTTGAGCAAAGGGCATGAGACCAAAACAGATGCAGTGGGAAAAAGCCAGAACATTCTACCTGGCGGAATTTCCACCTGGCTAGCGGGTTTGCAGGTTTGTCTCAAACAACAGCAGCAAACGCTGATGCAGGTGGAAAATCAGGCAGGGAGCAGAGCAGAGCCCGAATGCCACCGGGTTCATGATGAGAACACTGGCCCAGGGAGAGGGGACCTGTGATGGACTCAGCAGACAGGACAGGCAAAACCTGTTAGCAAAAGGCTGCCCGAGGCAGCCTGGCAGGACGACCCACCAGCACAAGGGTGTCCCATGTCAGAGGCCACAGCCAGCACAAGATCTGCCCTAAGCCCTCCTAACAGTGAGTGCTCTGCCAGACGCTAGAACAGCACGGACTCCGCCCTCACTGACCCCCACGGACGGGCCTCATGCTGGAGCCCAAGCTCCAGGCTGCCAGCTGCCATAGCTCTTCCCATTGTTCCAGACTCCCCTACAGAGGCCCAGACAGCCAGGATGCTCACCATCTCATCCAGGGCGTAGCGCAGGAGGCCGTGCTCGTAGAGGATGAAGAACCGCCGCTGCCATTTCTGCAAGAGAGCAGAGGGCCAGTGAGAAGGCCGCGAGACTGGGCCCTCGGCCAGCCACCACCGCCTCTAAGGAACGCCAGTCCCCTGACCTCATTTCTGGAGCTGATGGTAGAAGGGGGTCCGGACTGGGGCACCCTGGGAGTCACCGAGGCTTGAGCATCACTTGTGCACTGTAGAGGCCCCTGGGGGCAGGGACGCGCACACACGGGGCTCCCACAGAACACCAGCGAGGGCTGCAGGATCTGTGTGACCTGAGGGCCGAGGCACACACTGCCCACTCTTGGGTCCCTGGGAACTCTACTGAAGGGCCAGCTCTCACGATCCAGTGGGGAGTGGGGCAAGGACAGCTTCAAAACTCACTGACAAAACCCAGGAAACAACTCCGATACCTAGGGAGTGGCCAGCTGGTGCTGTGGAGCAGCGGATTAAGCCACTACTTGCAGGAGCTGGAGCAATGCAGCAGTAAGCTAAGTCTCTGCTGCAGTGCTGGCGTCCCACATGGGCTCTGGTTCGAGTCCCGGCACGCCACTTCCAATCCAGCTCCCTGCTAACGCACCTGGGAAGGCAACAGAGGATGGCCCAAGAGCCTGGGCCTCTGCATTCATGTGGGAGACCTAGAAAAAGCTCTTGGCTGATGAGGCCATTAGGGGAATGAACCAGTGGGTGGAAGACCTCTCTCCGTCCTTGTTAACTCTGCCTTTCAAATAAAAATAAATCTTAAAACAAAAACAACAACAACAAAAACACTGCTTACAACACGTATATCCCCTACTGGATTCAGGTTCAACTCCTAACCACTCTTTTTTTTTTAAGAATTATTTTGTTTTTATTGTAAAGTCAGATATACAGAGAGGAGGAGAGACAGAAAGAAGATCTTCTGTCTGATGATTCACTCCCCAAGTGGCCACAATGACCGGAACTGAGCCAATCTGAAGCCAGGAGCCAGGAGCTCTTCCAGGTCTCCCATGTGGGTGCAGGGTCCCAAGGCTTTGGGCCGTCCTCAACTGCTTTCCCAGACCACAAGCAGGGAGCTGGATGGGAAGCGGGGTGGCTGGGATACAAACTGGCCACCCATATGGGGTCCTGGCTCATACATACAAAGCGACAACTTTCGCCACTAGGCTACTGTCCTGGGCCCCCCAACTACTCTACTTCTAATTCGGCTCCCTGTTAACTGAGGAGGTGAATGACAGCCCAAGCACACGGGTCCCTGTCACCATGGGGAAGACCAGGAGAGTCCATGGCTTCTGGTTTTAGCCATCCCAGGCCAGGTCATTGTAGGCATCTGGGGAGTGAACAAAACCTTTCGTTCGTGCCCTCCCTATGCCAAACAAAGAAATCTTCAAAATAAATAAATAAAAGGCAAAGGTATGGGCTTGCTGAAGTAGTCACATGCTGCCAAGTGCAGGCATGCAAAAGGCCACGAGGGTGAAGGACTCGGCCATCACAGCCTGACTGACCTCTGGCACCCCGGGTCCTCTTCTCAACACTTAGCAGGCTGCCAGCAAGACACAGGGACTGTGGAGGCGTGCTCTGCTCTGCGCCAGCACTGCACCCCGTCTCTCATTCCCCAGGAGCAGGACCCAGAAACCTCCATGGGCTTCAATGACCCACCCTTCCACAGGCAACAGGAACAGGGCTCACGTGGCCTCGCCAGAGGGGCGGCAGGGGCTGCCTGGCAGACAGGCCCTGCTGTGAGCACCTCTCCTGCTTGGGGTGCCTGCCACGGGGAAGTTTAGGGAGAGGTAAGCCTGGGTTCTGCAGTCTCAACCCCTGGGTCGCTAAGCCCCCGACACCAAAGGGACCTCACAGGTACCCTCGCCTGTGAGTCGAGCCGGCCCACCAAACCGGCAGCATTTTTGTCTGTGGCCTCTGAGCTCACAAATGCCTCCCACGGCCTCCCTGTCCACTGCCCTCGGGGTGAGTCCTGCCCCCTTACCCGAGACCGGTGCACAGGATTGTCAAAGTCGGTCCCATCCGGAGCCAGGAGAAGCCAGCCGCCGTAGATGGGCTTTGCCTGCAGGACAAAAGGGAATTGGGTCAAGGTGGCGAATCACACTGGCCCCCACACCCCCAACCCAGCTACGCAGAGGCCAGGCTCACAGGCAGCCGGCTGACAGAGAGCCACGGTGGGGATCTACAGCCCCCAGCGAGCAGGAGGACTCTGCCACAAACCACAGGACCGTGGCAGCGTGCAGGCCGAGCTACTCCCTGTGACACCATAATCCCATATCAGACATCCCGCCCCCTGCAAATGTGCCTGGGAAGGCCAAAGACGGCCCAAGCACCTGGACCCCACCACCCATGCTGGAATTCTCGCCCCCGGCTTCAACCTGGCCCGTGTTGCAGCCAGGAGAAGTGAACCAGCAGACACAAACGCGCTCTCTCTCTCTTCCCACCATTCAAATACATAAACATTGAACTGTGTATCTTAAAAGGATAAATACTGTGTGTGAATTATGTGAACTGCTTCTCAATAAAACAAGCCGGAGGAGACGACAATCCCGAGTGGAGCATCTGGCCTTCTTGGCCCTACTCTGTGTTGACTACCATGGTCCCCCCCTCCCTGACCCAAGCCCCTGGGCGGAGGCCCAGACAGTCTGGCCCCATGTCCCCTTTCAACCTCCCCCAGCTGGCAAGGAGGCCCAGAAAAGGTACAACAAAGGCCAGTTTGTCCACCACCCTCTCGGGCGCCACCAAAGTCGCGCCTAAAGTCCCAGGTTGCCCCTGACACACCTGGTAAGCCTTCGGGCCCTCCTAACATGCTTTTCAAACTCCCAAGGGCTCCCGGGAGATCTGTGGAATGATCACTCAGCGTGTGCGGCTTGCTGCAGCGCACACAGCCCAGAGCCCTGTCCCCCACAGCCTCTCGGCAGGTCCTAAGGGCTTCTCTCATGCCCAGGACTGTGCTGGGGGGTTAGGACAGGCAGGAGCCCAAGGCAGCGGAGGGCTGGTTTCTTTACCAACACCAGAGGTGCTCAGGGGCTCCCTGTTCCACCCAGGTGCCTGGGGCTGTCTGACTGGGAGCCTGACTGGGAACCGCCTTCCTGGCCTCTGACCCAAAGGCTCTGGGGTGATGCTGTGCAGCTGGCCACACCTACCTGACCTTCCCCCAGAGCAGACGGCAGGCACTGTGTCCTGGGGGGGTGTCTCCACTGGGAGCCCAGCCCCCACCACCCCCTACGGAGCAGCACAAGGGTACTGGTCCTGGTGGACAGGCAGGGCAATGTGGGGCTCGGGGTGGAGCAGGGAAGCAGGTGCTGCCCCCTCCAAAGCAGTTACCTTGGCAACCCCCAGGGGCAAAAGCTATAGGTGTGGCCATCTGAGGCTGCAGGCAGGCAGGCCAGGTGACAACTAAAGGACACAGGGCTTGAGGAAATGCCCTGGAGGTCCCTATGGGGATAGCCGTCCATCCCGAGTACACAACAAACTGTCCCCAGAAACGTCAGTATATGCATTGCTCCTAACTTTTTGCACTTGATCTTAGCCAAAAGGCCGAGAAGCGATCCCCTTTCTGAAGACCCTCACACACTTTAAGACAGGACACCTGCAAAGGGTGGTGAATTTTATCTTACAGTTATTACAAGAAAAATACTTGGGGCCTGGCATGGTAGCCTAGTGGTTGAAGTCCTAGCCTTGCACACTCCAAGATCCCATATGGGTGCCAGTTTGTATCTCAGCTGCTCTACTTCCCATCCAGCTCCCTGCTTGTGGCCTGGGAAAGCAGTGGAGGACAGCCCAAAGCCTTGGGACCCTGCACCCACGTGGGAGACCCAGAAGAGGCTCCTGGCTCCTGGCTTTGGATCAGCTCAGCTCAGCCTTTTCGGCCACATGGGGAGATAACCTGCAGAAGATCTTGCCTCTCCTTCAATCTGGCTTTCCAATAAAAATAAATAAATCTTAAAAGGACAGTGGGAAGGACAGTGAGTTCTGCTCCCAGATGGAAACACCGGAAGGACGTCTGCCGGGGGCCCAACACATGGCTACTATTGCCAGGAAACCTCACGGAGAGGGTGCCACGGAGGTGGGGTCAGGTAGGCACTGCTCAAAGGGTGACTCGGGCCTGCAGGCAGACAGGACAGGAACTCTAGGGCATACTCCGTGGGCAGTGTGCCAGAGAGGCTCACAATCCACACAGACGAGGACGTCCCCAAAAGGAAGCTGGCCTGGGGGCACTCCTGGGGACACCATGCCCCTTGAGTTCACTTCTAAGAGAACCTGCAGTCCTGCTGACTGCCCACGTGTGGGAAAGGCCTCCCAGCGGCCATCTCTCCCCCTTGGCTGGAGCCGAGTGGAGGTGCCAGAACCTCCCCGTCGGGCTGGAGGTCCACAGACAACAGGGGTGGGGGGGAGCAGCTTCCATGTCCTTCCTCCCATCTCATCCGCTTCCCGGGCGGGGTCTCTGACAGTTCCCCAGATAACCTGAAGCTCAAACTACCAGAGGAAACTGGTGGAGGAGAGCGCCTTGCCACACAGGCTATGGCCCACTGCTTGTGGTTGCACAGCCGGGCTTCGGATGGAAAGCTGGGAGCTGGCCTGCTGCTGACCCACAGGCTGAGTCGGGCTGTGAGGGCCTAAGTCATGTGACCCACAGCCCTGGGAGTCCCAGTGGAAGCACACTGCTACAGACCCCCTCACAGCTCCTGGACCAGTCCACACCTACTCGGGGCTTCGGGAGCGGCTGCCAGACACTGGCACCCACAATCTTCTGAAACAGGTGTGAGCTGCCCCCTGGGGGGAGACGCTACGGCCAGCACTTCCTAGCACTCTGGATAACTACAAACTAGGCAAGACAATGACTGCAAGGTGAGGGCAAAGCGTAGCAGCCCAGCGCCTCGGGCCCCGAGCAAGGACCTGGGACAACTTCCCTGGGCAACTCGCCTGTGTGTTCTGTGACCTCATCATGCAAGCTGGGCGCTGGGAAGGCTGGCATGACAATCAACGGGCAGAGAGCTGCTTGTTCTTGTATAAAGCCACAGAGGCCAGCCTGGCAAACAGAATACCTTAGACACCAAACACGTGCCACGGCCCAGCGCCACAGGGAGCATCTGCATCCGTTCAGAGTGGGTGCAGGGGACCACACCCAGGCCCAGGACTTCCCTCCAGCACAGCAGGATGAGGCCCCCTCCCTGTGTGTGCCAGGCCAGCGCCATCAGGCAGTGAGGAGGGGTTCCCCACCCAGGGGTCAGCAGAAGCCAGCGACTCACCCCAGGATGCAGGCGAGTAACTGGGCAATGGGCACCTTCCACTGCTGGAGCAGTACACAGCAAATGACTGGGATGACACACTGGCACAACAGCTAATCCTCTGCCCGTGGCACTGGTATCCCATGTGGGCCATGTCCCAGCTGCCCCAATTCCCATCCAGCTCCCTGCCTGCGAGCTGGGAAAGCAGCAAAGAATGACCCAATTCCTTGGGACCCTGCACCCACGTGGGAGACCCGGAAGAAGCCCCCAGGTCCTGGCTCCAGATCAGCTCAGCTCTGGCCATTTGGGGAGTGAACCAGTGAATGTAAGACCTTTCTCTCTCTGCCCTTCTCCTGTAAAACTTGCCTTTCAAATGAAAAATAAAATATCTGACGATAGGTTCAAATGACTCAGATAAACCAGCCCTCACAGATAAATCTTAAAACATTGAAAACATAGGGCCAGTGTAATGGCTCAGTGGGTTAATCCTCCATCCGCACGCGCTGAGCTCCTGTATGGTTCATGTCCCGGCTGCCCCACTTTCCCTCCAGCTCCCTGCCTGTGGCCTGGGAAAGCAGTGGAGGACGGCCCGAAGCCTCAGGACCCTGCACCCGCGTGGGAAACCCACGGGCTTGGGATCAGCTCAGCTCTGACCACTGTGGCTACTTGAGGAGTAAATCAGCGGGTGAACATCTTTTTCTGTTTCTCCTCTCCATAAGCCTGCCCTTCTAATGAAAATAAACAAATATATATATTTTTTAAATCCGCTAACAGAGGAGTCAAAGGAGCTGGTGAGGCACACCACCACCGACTGATGGGGATGGAGTGTCCACACACGCGGCCAGGTGCCGGAGCACCAAGGGGACACAGGGCCCGCACACGCGGCCAGGTGCCGGAGCACCAAGGGGACACAGGGCGGGCCCGCACACGCGGCCAGGTGCCGGAGCACCAAGGGGACACAGGGCCCGCACACGCGGCCAGGTGCCGGAGCACCAAGGGGACACAGGGCCCGCACACGCAGCCAGGTGCTAGAGAACTGACAGGGCACAATGAAATCATAAGGAAAATACGCAAGAAACCAACAGAAAGCAGGAAAAAGACAGGAAAACGAAACTTAGCAGACTAGCACATCAATCACGTTAGTGACACAGCGTCAAAGGCTGAGACTGAGAGTAACAGAAACGCGGCCCAGCTGCACCCTCTAAGAGGCTCCCGTCAACGAGCCATCCATTCAGGTGGAAGGTCTCTGTCAGGACCAGGCACAGAGCAGCAGAGTCACTTTACTAAAAGAAAAAGTGGTGCAAAAGGGATGGTCAGAGACAGAAGCAAACCTCAGTGATTAAAAAAAAAAAAGGGGGGGGGGCCTGGCGCAATGGCCTAGTGGCTAAATCCTCACTTTGCAACCAGAGATCCCATATGGGTGCCAGTTCGTGTCCCAGTTGCTCCACTTTCCGTGCTTGTGGCCTGGGAAAGCCTGGGACCCTGCACCCACATGCGAGACGTGGAGGAAACTCCGGCTTCGGATTGGCTCAGCTCTGACCCTGGGGCCACTTGGGGAATGAACCAGTGGACACAAGATCTTTCTCTGTATCTCCTTCTTTCTGTAAATCCGACCTTCCAATAAAAATAAATAAACCTCTAAAAAAATAATGAGAGGTAGCCATGACACAGCGCACCTAAACACACATGGCACAGCAGGGGAGCGCTCACGGGGTGAGACCCATGGAATCCGGAGCAGCCAATCTGGACGGGAGCTGCG